CACCCATATATATATATATATATGCGACACATATTCATCTTGAGGGGCTGATGTGCGTCTGTGGTTTGCAGGCGACGCTGGCCATGAAGCTCATGGTGTCCGTGTCGCCCAAGGTTACGCGAAGCTGAAGATATCCTAGTGGCAATGTATGCTGCCAAACCAAAGCAGCCTGAAGGCCAAAGCCCAGGCTGCGAAGCCGGCGAGCGCGCCTGGAAAGAAGCGGCACCGCGACGAAACAGTTTTCTCACGGACTTAGCGTTGCCTCCTGGAGTAGCTAGGACGTGCTCCCAAGGCCTCTGCTGCTCCGCACAAGCGCAAGTGGATCCTCGAAGCCTGGACCCTGACCTCGTTGATCGCGCGAGTTTGAAGACTTGGCTGTGGAGTTCAACAGAAAAATCCATTGATCCATGATGACTCAGGTACCAGGGAGTCTCGCATGTGAAGGCCAGTGGCAAGTGGCAGGCCATGTACAAGGCAGCTTGCATGTGTCACTTTTTACTGAAAGCTGTGGGCTGTGTGATGCTGTGTGGAATCGCGTTTTGCAAGCGTCCGCGGCCACATCTGTCACGAGGTGTATCACAGACCCAGCCACGACCGGCAATAGAAACTCGCAAAAACCGTACCCGTACCGGCCGGTACGACTGAGACTGCCAGGGCCAGCGCCTGGGCAGCTTCGCGTCGGACCTGTTGCTGCACAGAAAGAGGGAAGAAGAGGGTGAGAGAAGTGAGGTGCTGCCTAATTAATCTTCGCTGAACAGTGCCAGGAGCTGAAAGCTGCTCAGGCGGTCCGCGATGCGGCCGAAGAAGCGGATAGATCGGAGAGCAAGAAGGGAAAGGCCAAGGCTGCCAAGGCATCCAAGCGGAGATTTGGCAGAATTTCGCATGTATCCGAGATTCTGCCAGGGCAGTGCCGAGCCGCCCCAAAGTCGAAATGGCTTGGCTCGGACTGTGGCACAAGGCGCGGATTGCCCTTCTTGGGCGCCGTGATCCAGTACCCGCTGTTAATGGTGAAGTTCAGGTAAGGCAACCGCTACTGGCAGCAAGCGCAAGCATGACGAGATGGAAGGGAACAATTATGATACTTGCTCAAAATAGCACGCCCGGCATGCTGCATGTGGGCTCATTGCCCAGCACCATGAGTCACCGAATCGAATCGATCAACTGTGTTGGACTGGACTGTGACGCGGTCTTGGCCGGAGGTAGTTATTCTGCGAGGGCTTGTAGTATTGGTAACACAAACTGGCATTTCTTGTCCAGTCATGTACGCGGTGAATCTAAGGAAGGTTATGTAACTTGGCTGCAAGATATGCTGAATGATCGGGAAGTGACTGCACGTCTGTTAAGTCCTGTTGGCTGCTGATCATTCCAGGAGTTGGGGTCGGCACAGAAGTGTTGGAATAGTAAAGTAGATCGGTCCCGTTAAGCTTTAGCCCTACAGACCCTCTGAGCTTGGAGTCGTGAGCTTACCAAAGAACACCTTGTGGCCCGGTTTCTTATAAGGAAACCTACGAGGGTGCGCAGCTGGACCTGAGCGAGTCTCCTCTGCATGCGATTGAGTGGGCGCGAGTCGTGCTGGACGAGGCGAGGTGATCTCCTTGGGCGAGCAATGTAATTCGACCGGCCGCAGCGCAGGCTCATCGCATCAAGGGCCGCACCAACAGCACGGCACTCGCTGCCTATGCACTGCAAGTGCAGAAGGGCTACAAGCGCCTTGCTTCAAGGGTGGCGGGGAGTTGTGTAGCCTGCAAAGCTGCAGCGAAGTAGGTATCTATTCTCAGCAAAACGAGAGTTTGCCGACAATCACAGCACCACGTCCCATGCGCAGCCTCGCAAGCAGTATGGGTATTCCGAAAAGAAATAGAAACGGAAGCAGCGCAGATACAGTCAGTTTGGCAATATGAAAAATTGGGTCAATGAGAACATGCTAGAACACTACCAGTCGCAGCAGCTGTGCTAGGAGAAGCAGGAGGAAGAGGAGGAGGAGGAGGAGGAGCAGGAGCAAGGGTGAGAGCAGGAACGGGAGTAGGAGTCGGTGTAGGAGGAGTAGGAGCAGGAGTAGGAATAGGAGTAGGAGTAACGGGAGGAGGAGGAGTAGGAGTAATAGGAGTGGGAGTGGGAGCGGGAGCAGGAGGAGGCGGAGTAGGAGTAGTAGGAGTAGTAGTAGTAGTAGTAGTAGTAGTAGTAGTAGAAGTAGAAGTAGTAGAAGAAGTAGTAGTAGGCGCGCCCCCCCTGGCAACCCCCTACCAACCACCTTTGCTGCCTGTGCTTTCGCAGTTTCTTCCCCGTCGAGTTTGCAACTCCGACTGCTGTCGCAGTTTTGGGGCCTGAACCTCTGCAACTTCACCGACTGTGACAGTTAAGGCAACTTCTGCAGCTGTCACAGATAGGGAGCCCTTGCTTGCATCTTCTGCAGCTCCCGCAGTCAGGGAGCCTAGAAGCTGCCACTGTCGCCAGTGGTTGGCGGGGGGGGGGGTGGTGGTGGTTACTAGTAGTAGTAGCAGCAGCAGCAGCAGCAGCAGCGGTAGTAGTGTGCTAGTGATACTAGGTGTGCTAAAATGGTTATCAGCAGTCTCTCTCTCTCTCTTTCTCTCTCTCTCTCTCTTTCACAGTTTTTTCATGGGACTCGATGTCCCGGATTTGCAAGTGTTGTTGTAGTTCATTCGTCTCTGGCAGGTGGTGCCTGACAGGAACCCCTTTGCAAAATCGGGTTGGGGAGCTCTACTCGCTCATCCGCGCCTTGTCTCGAACAGTGAAGCCGCAGCAAGACCTATCCTGCCAAGAAGTAGCAGTAGCAGTGGCGGTCGGTACTAGTAGTGTTTATGGTTTCAGCTTTTGTTATCGTTGCTATCACCAGTAGTCAATAGTAGCAGCGGCAGACGTCATTGACAAGAATGGAACGACACGATTCATTAGCTGCCTTTCGCTTGTTCAGACACCTTGAGCGAACCCTCCAGAACAGCCTCGATCCATGCCAGAGGGCCTCGACCCTGGCTCAAGGCTTTCTTCGTGTGCGACCCTATGCCTTCTACTATTGCAAGAAGCAGGCATCTTCCTCGAAAGGAGTGCGAAGAAGAGCGAGAGAGATGCACGCGGACGACACATTGAGTTTTTCTGGTTCCGCCTGCAGGGGTGCAAATGCGAATGCGCAAATTTTATGCGGGAGCGGTACTGCCCGAACTGCGGCCACGTACGATTTCTGCTTCTTGGTTGCCTGCTACGGTGAATAGCAGAGCATAGTTTCCGTGTTTGGGCTTCCGGCTAGCTTTACTTTTGTGCCTGCTCCCTCGAATATGAGGCACTACTCCAGCTTCAAAAGAGATGTGCGCAGCTCTCAGAGACTGAGTGTGCTCCGAATTACCCATTGGTGGCTCCTGAGCTCGGCAGAGCTTGGCGAAAATGAGCTGCCTGCAGCATCGCGCCTCGAGGTCCAATCCCATCATCAAGTTCGGCTACATGGGTGCGGGTAAGACAGCATTCGGGAAGCTCCGGCAGGATCTCGGGCTCAGGCTGCACAGGCTGCAGGTCGGAAAGATCTTCGGGAAGCGGGTGAATATGAGGGGAACGTAGTCCATCCTCCTAAGACCTCTGTAGCTCTGTAGGCAGGCTTGTCTGAGTTTCGGTGCAGGACATCCTGCAGCGCTGCATGCTCCGACGCACGAAGGAGGAAAGAAAGGCGATCGGAGCAAGTCTTGGGGTCCTCGCGAACGTTGCAATGCTTTTTGATCTCCCCATACCTGCGCATCGGCGAGATCTAAAGACCCTCGCAATGAACTCGAGACCGAAAGCCCCGCGAGGCAGATCTCAAGTTGCCACCGATCAAAGCTCGGGACCCAAGGGACCTTGCACCCGCCCCCGCCTTTTTTTTGCTCTGTCCAGCTTTCTCACGCAATGCATCTCTTGAGGTCATCATTCGGAAGGACAAGCTGTCAAAGCAGGCGCCGTCTTGCCAGCCACGATTTTGGGGCACCGGGGAAACCCGGCACGCAGCATGGCCTGCCCCCGAAGGAAGCGGATTTCTACTCCAGCATCTACATGCAGCCACTTGGCACCGAATGGTCAACATTCTTTGGAGCATCTTTGAGCTCGCTCGATGACTGGAAAGATCGTCCTAGTGAATTCCTGTTGGTTATTGGTTCGTAGTCGTAGTTTTGCTCTTTGTTCACGTGTTGTTGTTTCTTTCCATCTCGGTCTTCCCAGAAAACATCTTGCAAGATCCCACAAGCAAGCATGCAAGTCAACACGCAGACGGCAAGGAAAAATGAGGGAACCACCCAATCCAGGAAAACAGCGCCAAGCAGAGTCACAGTCCCCGGCCCCAGCGTTCGATGACAAGCTCAGTCAGAAGTTTCGCCGTGGCTTTCGACACCCTGCAGCCTGGAGGTAGTAGTGAAAAGAAAGCAACCCATCCGACTGTTTCCCACATGAGCATGACTTCGGCTGTTGCTGCCGTAGTTTTCAGAAGGATGCATTTGGGCGTTTGACAAGCTTCAACAACTGCACAGTCAATCGCTCGGATGTTTCATCGTTCAGCACTGGCATTTTGGGCTTAGAGTTGCTAAGCTTAGAATTGTGCTAAGGCGAGTAGTGAGAGGAAGAGCAATAGTACTTGCACCAGGCAAGCAGAGCCGCGATGTAAATAACCGCAGGTCTTCACGGGAACAACCTTGGCCACATGTACGCAATGCCTTTGATGCCATGCCTTGTAGCAGTCATAGTAGTTTGAATGCGCTACTAGACAGACCTGGTACATCGAAAGGTCGGAGAATAGTCGTTGGTCATCACAGAGTGTTGAGTCATCATTCTGTTACGAGCATGTCGCTGCGACGCCAGGTCTTGCGCAGCTCAGTTGCATTTGACGGCAGTACTGCTACTTTCTTGTACTTGGCGGTTTGCCGATGAGGTCAAGTTTGACACCTTCGTGCACTCAGGCACCATTTTGTACCTTTCCTGCAGTCCTGCAGTAGTCGTATCCTACCTTCGCATGACCCGTGACCAAGACGGACGGTCCGATGCGGCCTGAGGCACAACTATGCCCACATCTTCGATTTGTTGACCTCGCTGCGACGAGCGGTGGATCACCCGTACCTCATCGTGTACGGGGGTGGGCAGGCACGTTCCCTAGTCCAAAGCCGTTGCGCTTGTGACAAGTCGCTGACTCTCTTAGCCATGACAGGGGACGCACAAGTTGCCTGCGGGCAAGGCCTTGCTGCCTGCGAATGCAGGAAAAGTGTGCGGCCTTTGCCAGGCAGGGTGATGGCAGAGTGAGGTATCGCACGAGGCCGCGACAGTTTGACGCTTCAGGACGACATAGACGAGAACGAGGAGACCATGCGAGAGGCCGGCAGTGGAGCCTAACATGTTCTCGCGAGACACCAGCGGCAGAGCCCATACCTGCGAGGCGAAATGCGGCCATGTCCCTTGGCTGTTCGAAGATTCGAAGCAGGCATGGGCATCGATACATATTGCATACGTAAGCAGAAAGCTTACGGAGGAGACGAGGCACAGACGCTCATTCTTTTGCCCTCTCCTATATCATGTCTACTCTTGTATCAAACACGCAAACGAACAGACAGACAGGCGGGCAGGCAAACAGTCACTTACATAGCAAAACACAAGCACAGAAACAAGCAAGCAAATTAACATACACGTTGACCTACCCGTCTACCAACCCATTGACCTACCGACCTACCGACATACGGATCTACCGACCTGCCGAATTGCGGACCTACCGACCTACCGACCTACCAATTCAGCAAGATGTGGTGTATCACAAGAGCGCCTCCGTGTTTCGATTCGCAGTGAGAACAGGATCGGATTCAGCTTTTTGCGCTTTCGCTTCCGAGGTTTTCCATGATGAGTGCATCCGGGCATACATCGCCGACGCACCAGCTTTGAAGTCTGGAGGAGTGCTTTGACCGCAGGCTCCCGTCGTCGTCGTGTTCCCCTCCCCTCCAGTTCATGGTCGTCACTGTCACCATCATCATCATCATCACCATCATCATCATCATCATCAAAAATCAACGTCCTCCTCTTCCTCCTCACTGTCATACGCACACCCTCGTCTCAAGTGTCATCGTGACTAACAGGCTCACGACAGTTTTTGCTTGCAGAGGCACAGACATTGTTGCACACGCGATGCTCTGGAGCCTACTTTGCAAGACTCTTGCGCAACCATCTGGGTGGTGACACCTGCACCCACTAATGGTGAATAGGCGGCAGTCAGAGATTGAAGACCGTCGAGACAGGACTCGTGCTGCCACTGCCGTTGCATGCTACTGCACTACGCACGTGGTAGGGTGGACTCGAGCATTTGCCTACGGTAGCACCACCAGAACTGCCATTGGTGTCCTTCCGGTTGTACAGCCCTTAGGTTGGATGTCCAGTCTGCTTCGCAAAGTTGACAGTCAACCTCGAGGCCTCGAGCGATCCCATCAGCATCATTTGTCGTAATGCCCTCCTGCCACCAGGATGCAGACGATGAAGGTGACGGCACGGAGGCTCCTTTGGTTATACAGCCCAGGGTTGAACAATGATGACACGGTGGCCAACAGGCTAGAAACCCGTTTTCCAAGCATTTCCAACAAAGTGTCATGCAGCTTTTGCCAAGAAGCTGGTGTCTTGCAAATGAACAGCCGGAGGCAAACACAAGGATGCGATCCAGCCACGGGATCTATTTCCTCCCTAAGTAGAGTCATCGTGCAGGAGACGCCGAAGAAGAAGTCTCGAAAAGCTGTGTACTGCACGCCAGCGAAGACCGCCAAGTCCACTCACTCAGCTTTTGGGAGAACTGCCGAAAGATGTGTCCAGCGACCAGAGCTTCAGGCCACGCAGCTCGAGCCCTGCACCCAAGGCCAAGGTGGGAACGCCGTTGATTTCACGATACACTGGACATTCACAGGGCTGCATGGGCATTCGCCGGCATCCAATCACATCTCGCGAACTCTTATCGACGACGTTCTTGCTATTTGTTGCTCGTGATGAGCTGGACCTGCCAAACATGGGATAACGCGGGCAACTCGTTAGGCAAAGACGGCAAAGCTGGCGCTGCCGGCACCTCTTCTGCATTATCCAGCTTCTTGCGTTTTGTCAAGGGTTTGGTGCGATCGGTTGCCTTACTTCATTCGCTGCCTCAAAAGGGGAGATCCAGCCCTGGCGGCCCAGGCGCCCGCTGAAGAGACCTCCAAGTCTGTCGCCAAGGGCGGTTTCGGGCCCGGGAGCATCATGAAGAAGGTGCTGCTGCATGCTGCTAGCCCTGGTGGAGAATGGGCACTGCTTGATTTCGCAGGTGAAAGCCTCCGAGTTCCAAAGCAGTACCAAGATCGAAGCGGTCGTAGACGAGATCAACAAGATGATTCAAGGCGATAATGGCGCCAAGGAGCTTTGCATCAGAGTTCAACGAGCGCCAGATACATGATGATACATGTATTGGTCAGACATGCTTCGACTCGCGTTGCTTGGCCAGGGGATCGTGTTTTCGCAATTCGGCTCCATGCTTGAGCACCTCAGCAGCAATTCGATTCCGCATCCAAGATCAGCTCAGAGTCAAGCTGTTCCACAGCTAAGATGGCCAGCTAGCTAGCTGCTAGCCTTTAGTGAGTCGACAGGCTGTTGGAGTTTCGCCTGAAGCGATCCGGCATTACTTGCGCGGCTTGGACGAAGTTTGTGCTGAAATTGCAGACATCAATGTCTTAATGAGTGTTTCTGCAGCTCGTGGGACCTATGCACCCCATTGTGCTGTCTCCTAAGGTCATCTTCCGAGGTGGCATGTCTATGCAGGCAGGCCCCTCGTCCGTTCCATTCTACAGTGGCTTGGATTCCATCGAGACGAAGTCTTCCTAGGCGCGGGAAGATGCTCTGGCAGCCTTTAATGAGGATCCCAACATGAAGGCCTGTCATTTGCGCAGCACTGGTGTGAAGCAAGGTTGGACATCAAGCAAGCCGCACAAGCCCTCTCCACGTAGTATTCCAACTAAGCAGGAGGACAAGAGCAGATAAAAAAGCACAGCCCGTCGTGGTCGTGGGCGAGAGATGTTTATAGTTTTTATGACCGAGCAACGCAAAAACATGCAGGAGGAAATTCCGATGCCGTGCCTGCAAAACGTTTCACCAGGAAAGACTAGACTACACAACACCGGACCAGTTCCGAGCTCAACATCTCGCAGGTTTACAGTGGTTTGCCGATGCGGTGCCGACTAGGGTTCATGATGTTTTTTTGTTTATATCTGTTACACTTATTCAACTATGTTTCCGGCATTCGGGAGCATGATCATGATCATCGCCATCACCAGCACCATCACCGTCGCGATAGTCATCATAAATCACCATCATCATCATCGTCGTCATTGTGGTTGTTTACCTCGAGAACCAAGCCACAGTTCTGCAGTTGGAAATCTTGAAACGGTGCTCCACACGAGCCAGCTTACGAAAAACGTCCAGAAACGATAATGTTTCCATGGATGTGATTTCACTGCACACAAACTGGAAGACCGAATAGAAGATGGTGTGTGATGTCCGCTCCTGAGAACGAATTTCGTGTCAACGTGGAATCACTAAACTTTTGTGGATAGGTATAGCGCCCAACCCTCAAGTGGAAGCACCACGGGGTTCAAATCGCGATTGCTTTGCCACGTCGGGAAATTCTACCAGCTTAAATGCCCAGGGCAATATACAAGCCAAGCTCCACACAAGGCAGGTTCTTTTGGACTGTCGAAGGAACCTGAACTATTACATTATGTAGATATGCATCTTCGGGTTGTTGCCATAAACCGAAGCTGCACTTTCTCTGCGTTGTCGGCGTGTTCCTGGTACAGAATACTCCGGAAAGACTTGGTAGGCTGAGGGCTCAGGCATCAACACAGGATGCAGCATCCGCATCTATAGATCAAGCAGTCGACCGTCCATACACCTTGATCCAGTTTCACACGAGCTGGAGAAAGAGTCCAAGTAGTCCGAAGCCGCTACATGGAAATTGCCCTTGTTCTAGACCCCTTTGCAGTCGTTCCGGCAGCGCAAGGTCATCCTTATCTCCTTGAAGGCGGGAGGCGAAGGCCTGAATCTGCAGGCCGGAGCAGCTACCTTTTCACAAATTTAACGGAGCATGTCAGGCGCACACTCTGCGGAGCGCACAGCTAGACGTGAGATCTTGTGAACATCCCTTTTTCTTCAGGCGTTCTGGAGCCTGCTTTTTTGTGCAGGTGGCCAATCACGTCTTCCTCATGGATCCTTGGTGGAACCCTGCAAGTGAGATGCAGGCCGGGAGCGGGCTTCATATCCTATGGCTGCTCCGCAGCGAGACGTCATGGACTCGACGCAAGCCAGCGCATGTGAGATCATGTGAGCGCTTGGAGGCCATCCAGCGAGCACACCGCATTGGACAGACCAAAGCTGTGAAAGCCACTTCCTGCAACAGCTGGTGTTTAAGCAAGTTTGCAGGAACCTGGCAACCTTCGGTGTTTGAAGGACTTTGTCTGTTTGATGGTTGGGTTGGATCTGGGGAAGCCATGAGTCTTGACATTTCACTTCAAATTTCGACAGCCGCTCCAAGACCCAGCCCCACGAGGCTGGGAGTTACTGCTCAACTTGTTAAGGGAAACTCCGATGTCTCCTCCGAGTGTCACTTCAGCCGTGGGGTTATATTTGACGCTCTTACCGCCGCGCTACGCCGCTACGGGTCGCCAGTCTCATGCTGCGCTCACTTTCAGCTCAGGCTGTCAGATTCATCACCTCGGATACGATCGAGGAGAAAATCATCAAACTCCAGGCGGCTTGCCAAGGGAGGTTTCGAAAAGGGTTCAGTAGGGGCCCAAAAACCGAGGAGAGTCAGCTTGGCCGGCTTAGCTCTTGCTGTAGTTCATCGCCTGCTGCGCAGCTTAGTGACCCTTCGTCCGGGTCTGCGATGCCAAGCGGGCATGCGCTGGCCAAGAGTAACAAAAAGAGAGCGTGGCTCGCCTGAGGAGAAGAAGCAGCTGGTCTTCGATGCTTCCATCGATGGCTCCGCGACCTCCCTCGGAAAGCTTACAGAACAGGACATGGCGGAAGTAGAGTCTCTTGAATCTCTTATCTACAGCACCTTGGGATGTGGTAGCACAGGACCTGCGCTTCTTGTTCCAGCACTAGGCCACTGGCGTTTCGGATTTTCCTGACCCGGCGCTGTTGGCTGAGCCAACGACCAAGCAAACAGAGGGCCTTTCAGTAGTTATGATGTCGTGGTAATTCCTGCGGCAGCCTGGGTTTGAGGTGCATTTTCCTCTGTTCTGCATGGGTCTGCGTGCAGGCAGACCCAAGAGCCCAGAAACCAGGTTCTTGGACTCGGCCAGTACGATCTCGGTCATTTGACAAGTCTACTCAGTATGAGATTCAGCAACGTATCGCATGTGACATTACTACGAGGCAGTCCTCTACCTCGTGCTGTTGACCTGTGGTACGGGTCCGCTGCTAGGTGACGCGCTGTCAGCTAGGAGCTGTGGTACGGCTCTACAGTCACAGCTCAAGCAGCTTCACACTCTCCGCGGCATTTGCCATCAGTTTGCCGGCTGTTCCATTTCTCTGCGCCACCGCATCTGATGAGAGACACGAAAGGACACACAAACTAGAAAACCGAAAGAAGATGACAACAGTCCGCCGACAGTTCCGGCATTGCTGATGCATCCTCAGGAACAGCCGAGCAAAACTGACAGCAGGGAGTGGACATGTGCCGTGTTGGGAGTGCACATGTGACCCTTGATTCCTGACATGCATCCTCGTGAGGTGTCAAGCGGGTGGAATCCTAGTCGACATTACATAGGTACAAGAAGGTCAAGAAGCAGAGCCGCCTGTTTTGGATGTGCAAGCTTGTCGAGAATCGCTCGATTTTCCTGCTTCCCCGCAGCAAGATTTCCCTGCTACGCTGCTTTGCCAGCTCAGTAAATGCTATCCAGTTCTCCGTGGCTTTCGACCAGAGCGTCCGATGATAGTCACATTCAGCGCAGTTTCAAGTTTGACGATTAAAACTAGCTAGTGCGGATTCAATACAGCTCCGGGACAAAGTCCAGGTGAACGAACCGGGCAAAGCCCGTCAACATTTGATAGCTGGCGCTGTCAGCACGGTAGTTATCCGCATCCTAGCTGCCATGTCCCACTGCATCGATCTGCCTGTCGAGTGTAGAGTTCAGTTCCAAGATTCCTGCCAGAAGCTTTCATTGGTGCCTATCAAAGTTGGATATGGCCTGCAGCTACGGTTGTTGGGCAGCAGACCATACGATCACAGACTGTGCAAGACGGAATGTGGCGTGCTGCATGCCCGGCAAGTGGAGGATTTAAGTTGCTGCACTAGAGGACCCTCCGCAAAGGAAACTTCTCGTGTCAGCTCGGATGCGGGGCTTGCCTGCCCAGAAAAAGCAACTGCTGCCGTGACATAGTTAAGACTTCACAATGTTGTCGTCTCTTCGGCGACTTAGTGTCAGCAGCAACACCTCGAGCGCGACTCGCAAGCAACAGCTGCAGCTCATAGTTCACGTTCACACGGCCGGTTGAGCTTCACGTGACGATAAGAGGCACAGATCATGCACTGAATTCATGTCGTGACATGTCTAATATGTTTGAGTGGCGGGACCAATGTACCCAGAAGTTGAACTCATGGAGTTTCGCAACAGCAGCTCTACACAGATACACCTGTAGTGTGTGTGCATGTGAGAATCATGCAGCCAGCTTGAGTCATGTCAGGGGTTCATGTTCCAGACCTGCCGGCATGATTTCATTACTAGCGTACTTTCAGGGCCAGAGCCCGACGTGTTGGTGTTCAGTGACATCCAACCATGATCTGCATAGCAGGTCGGTCACCCACCTGTGGTCTTCTGCACGCCAGGAAACAGGACGGGGCTCGCAGCTGTAGTTGTTATGCTGTCAACAGCTCCTTGTTACTTGTGCAGCTCCTGGTGCTGCTGCTGCCGTTGCTTGCTGCTGCTCCTGCTGCTCCTCTTCCTCCGAGTGGGGCAAGTGTGAGTGAGGCAAAAGCGGCAAGTGGGGCAGCCCCGTGAATCCATCCCAACGCCGACACTCTCGTCCACTCTTATTCCTACTGCTACTCCTGCTTCTTCTCCTACTACAGTACTACTACTGCTACTACTGCTTCTCCTGCTAGTACTACGACGACGACGACGACGACTACTACTACTACTACTACTACTACTGCTACTGCTACTGCTACTGCTACTGCTACTGCTACTGCCACTGCTACTGCGACTACTACTACTACTACTACTACTACTACTACTACCACTTCTACTACTACGACTACGACTGCGACAACGACTACGATTATCTACTAGTACTAGTACGACGACGACGACGACGACTGCTCCTACTACTCCTCCTCGTCCTACTGCTACTGCTACAAAGCTACTATTACTGTTGCTGCTGTACTCCCACCATCACCACCACCATTACCACCACCATTACCACCACCATTACCACCACCATTACCACCACCATTACCACCATTACCACCATTACCACCACCACCACCACCACCACCACCACCACCACCACCAGCACCACTACCGCTGCTGCTACTGCTACGGCTCCACTACTTATCGGTGTTTGACACAAGGCCAGCCTTTGCGTTTACCTGCTGCAAGTTTGCTTTTGGCAGGGATTTATGCGAGAAGACCGTTGCCCACTTGAGCTGGACCATAGGGAAGGCAGACGTTGTCGAGTTTCGGGTGGTAGTATATACAGCGCTGTCATGTTGCAGAAACTCGGATGGTACAGATATTGTTCTCAACCTTGATGTGAACCGTATGTATCTATCTATATGTGTATATATATATACTATATTTTATTATATTTATACTTCTATTGGTGTAAGTTTATACACGCAGGTGGGTTTTTGCAGAAATAGACAATACATGTGCATGTATGTACATATTTGTTATGCACAGGTGTATGCCGACACGCTTTGCATATATACACTCGTGTAGTATAAACATGCAGCAAAGTGCCGAAACCTACTCTGACTTACACGGCCTAACGCCAGGTGACTTGCCTTCAACTTCTAGATGTCAGCGGATGCTGTGCAATACTCGGGGATGGTTGTGGCACCCATGTATAGCAAGCCACCGAGGCCCTTGACTAAGTTGGGCACGAAGGTTGACACAAATATGACTAACGAGCAAGCGAGGACAAGAAACTTGATGGAATAGGAAGAGTAGGGCGATGGTAAATCTGATGCTGGGTTTTTTCAGACTTGAGTTTGGAACTGTACGACAACAGGCTTGTTATGTCAGCCATCCGACTACAATCCGGAACGTCTTTACACCAAACTCCACACCCTGCAGGGTGTTGGCGATGCAGCTTCAAGAGCCTCAATCTGGAACATGGGGTTGTAGGAGGGCTTGTTCTCGATGTAGTCGAGTTCAGTTTTTGTCTTCTGCCGGCCAGGCCCGCTTCCGCACTTTTGCGAATGGAGAGATCTCCGTGAAGCTGGAGCAATCCGTATCCAATTATGATGTGTTCGTGGCCCCTGGACTGCAGAGAGCTGTCGCTGATCACAACGATTCTCTCCTTTTCATGGCAGCAGGACATCAAGAGCCCGACACAAGTGACTGGAATCGCTGATGGTGCGATCGCCCACCCCCCGCTTGCCGCGTGTAATTGCAACAGGTTTGTGCGCGAGACGACTTTGAGTGCGAGATCAACTTCATGCTCATGCAGGTCCGCGAAGCAAGACGCTTCGCTTCGGTAGATCGTCAGTTCACGCCTTCAGCAGAATGCTTGATACCACGTGCTGCCGCAGTTGCTGATCATGCTGGACGCACTGAAGTCCGAGTCGCCGCACCGTATCACCGTGGTCTTGCCCTGCGTTGAGTATGCCCGGCAGGAGCAGCAAGTCATGTCATGTGCCAGCCCGACTAGACAGCCTTCGCTCGACGTGCGAGGATAGAAAATTCGAGGCTGGAGAAGCCATCGCCCCGAAGCTCCTGCGGCTCCGGCTTGCATTCAAGCTCATCTTGTGCTCGGCCTCTCCGCCTCGCCTCGAGCTTCGAGCTTCGGGCCGTTAGCCCACCCAAGGCTGCACCTGATGGCAACTGCGGGGGCGGACCGTTTCGTCACCATTGACTTGCACAACCAGGCAGAGCGCAGACAGAGCGCAGAGCGCCCTTGTCGAAAGCCTCGGAGAGCTCTGAGCGAGCCGCCCCGAGGCCGAAGCTGGCTTCAGCCCAGCACAGGCTGCGCTTGATGAGCTGACCTGTGAGCCAGAGCCCTTTTAAAGGGCCCAAAAAGGGCCCATCGTCGTGTTGTGGAGGGCTGGAGGGCTCGTGATTTCTGGCTGAGGAAATACCTCGGAGCATTCATTCGGGAAGCGATCCCAAGCTTCAAACCAGAGGAGCCCGTCGAGTGTTGAGTTGCCCTCTGAAGTCTCCGAGTTCTCTGAACCTCCCGGTTCTGACAGCGCAGGAGACATTGGTGTGTGCCACCGATGCGGGCGGCGCCAAGCGGACCAGGAAAATGGCAGATGAGCTGCAGGTGTGCAGCCGAAGCTCTTCCTTCGCAAGCGCTCCGGAACGCCTGCAGATGCGAGCAGGTCGGGTTTATGATGGCCGATAAGTTCAGGCCCAAAGCAGGCGAAGTCGGCCAGGCCAGGAGGCGCTTTTTTCAAGACAAGCTGTTTGCAGACTCTGCGGTACAATCTTGATGGTTGAAGGCAGCTGTGTAGTGATCGCCGGCCACGATCTCAAGCGACAGAGGGCCGCTATTTGCGCCCGGCCCGGCCGATCAGGCCTCAACTAGGCCTGACGATGAACGTCTCGGAGGCCGCGCTTCAAGAGGCCCTTACACGGGTCGAGTACATACTGCGGGACCTCGTCGCTCGGAAGGATGCTTCCCAAGCTGCTTGGCGCAGATGCCAGTTGCAGCTTTAAGCTGGCATTGGGCCGCCCTACAGAACCGTTGTAGTCCCCTTTGCATCCAAAGCCTTCCACAGCCGTGGCCTTAGACCTGAAACCTCCTGATTGCTGTGAAGGCCCGGATTGTAGTGATTGTAGCGTCTTTCATGGAAGCTTTCGATCTACGACGGTGCATACTTGTTGCACTGCATGGCCATTCGAACATGCTGCTTCCTCGGGTCTGTTGCCAGGTTGTGTCGATCTCCACGCACACTCCGCGCGTCACCTTCAGTCTCAGTGATGATGGAGCACATCTCGTCGATGGCGAAGAGTGCAGACTGGAGGAGCCGAACAATCAGACTCTTTCATCTCTGGCATCGAGTCCGAGTCCTTCCATTGCATCCGACTCCTCTAATGCTTTAGCGCCTCCCCGGAGCCGAAGTGATGGGATTCCTCTGCCCGGCTCCATGCCACAGATTTTAAGCGAGCAGAGACAGGCCGAGAGCAAGCTCGGCAGGCAGATATCGGTGGACAGCAAGGTGTTAAGTGCGCTGTCGTCATCCGGGCAACAGAGGCAGGCGTCGGTGGACAGCCTTGCATCTCAGAATAAGTGGACCAGACAAGTCTCATGGATGGCTGAAAAGTCCAGGAATATTACGCAAGCAGCAGCCTTGGACTTGGACGACGACGATGCCGACGTGCCAAAGTTCCAGGCTCATCAGATTTGGCAGGAGAAAGAGGACATCGTTTCCTTCCGCAGTTCGCGAAGACTAAGCGTCTGCGCCACGAACCTTTCTTTCCCTCCCGTGCGCAAGAGGGCCCGCAGCCCGCTCGTGCTGGAAGGTTGGTCGGCCGTAGCGATTATGATGATCTTCATGGAAGGATTCAGGCCAGGCTTGATTTTTGTTTGTTTATTTGTGTTTGTCGGGTCTGACCTGGCTCTTGTTCTGTCCCGTCCTGTCTGTGTTGCGTGAGCAACAAGCACTGGTAGCTAGCGTTGTCTCCAGGATTCCTTTGCTGGCCTTTCCTGGGAATGCTCTTGCTCTGCTGGATTTACTGGTTCTCATCTTCTGGCTCACGAGCGTTCTGGCACATTTCTGATGCGACGGGGAGAGCCACGAAGTACGCAGTGGCTTGCATGGCTTTCGCTGGAGATGCTCTTTGCGGCTTCAACTGCATGTATACTCGTTGCCAGCATGGTGCCCTTTGCAGTGGTGCTGCGAGGCAGGCAAGCTTGCCCCTGTCGAAGTTCCGTGTACTTAGACCCCAACCTCAAGCAAAACGGGTGCAGGTCTGCCTTTGCTTCGCATTCTGTACATCCAAACGCTGTGGGAGTGCTTGTCTGCTCGGCAACTCTGCACAACCTGGCAGCAGCGGGCTTTTCAAAGCAATTTGTGGTAGACATCCGAAGCATTTTGGGAATCTGCCCGAGGCATCTCCGACCCTGGATCCAGAGACGCAGCCTGGAAGCACGCTTTTTTGGAAATTTACTGCCGCTAGGCCTGCAGACAAGAACACAAATTGCCAATGTAAGCACGCCTCATCCCAGCCATGCGTCAGGCTGCGAATTGACCTGAAGTCTCGTGAACCTCCCACTGTTAGTAAGAGCAGAGTCATATTGAACTGACATGAATAAAAATTACGGGTGAAGCCAGCCACCGCCAGGTATACATCTCTTGTTTAGACGAACGTCATCACAAGTCATCCCCCATCTTTCCGGCCTCCTCGTACGTAGCTTTTCGAAACTTCACGACAGCCTTGTTGCTGGTTACCGCTACGCAGTTTAGTTGCCTTCACATCATCTGTCTGCAAGAAGTGCCAACCTCTATAGTCTGAGGCTTGCTGTGATGGCTGGCGCACTCTTACTCCACATGGTGACATGCACTTGGTATGCAGTCGGAGATCGTCCTGGCGGATGGGTACGACATGAGGGCCTCGAGAGCTCGCCACAGTCGGTCCAATATCGCATGGCTGCAGAGTGGGCACTTTCCCGACTTCCACCTTCAAGATTGTCTGACAATATGTTGCTGAAGACGCAGGAGGAGCGAGGAGTGGCCTTTTTGATAACGACCTTGGCCGTGGTCTTTGCCTCCATTTTCACCTCCATCGTCACGAATGACATCTCCGACATCCGCCGTGCCCACAAAGCGCAAAGGAAGTCGCATGTTCAGCTTTCCAACTACCTTGCGGCATTTCCGGTACCCTGGGACTTGGAGAAAGAGCTGCAGGCACAGCAAAGTCTTGAGCCGTGGTGCTTGCTATAATTTGCTATAGTTATCCGCAAAATCCAGAATCTACTGAGGCGTGAAAAGGCTGTTCGAGCTGCAAATCTAGTTATCTAGCCACTGGCAAGATTCGCGATTCCTCAGAGATTAGCAGCAGGCTGTTTGGGAACACCGCAGAAAACTTGGACCTAACGAAACGAGAAGGGTGGACCTCGTCGTTCGAGTTCATCACGCATACGGCAGCAACCATGTCAGCAAAACCAATAAAGACCGGCAGCCAGCCCTGCAAAATCAAATTACAAACGCCAAGAACACAGACACCAAAAAATGCCAATCCGAAACTGACAAACAACACCAACAACGTGAAAATCACCAGAACAAGCAAGGTTTTGGAAGTCCTCCGGGAATGCTGTAATCCAGGACTTTTCACCAAGACTTTGGGATGTGTTCTTGATCCTTTTGGTTTTGGTTCTTGATGTTGTTCCTTGCCGTTTAATAAAGTTTAATACTATTTCTCGGTTCCCAGTATTCGCTGTGAGCTTCTAAATAACCTAATACTTGTGCTTTCTGGGGTTTGGTGCTGTTTTTGGTATTGTTTGTGGAATCAAACAGGGCATGGTTCCTGTTTAGTTCAGTTTCTTCTGTTACAGTTCGGACAGGTTCTTGCCTTCGTGAGACAGGCAAAGCCACCGCGGACAGGTGGTAGTTCCCTAAACCCTAAACCCAAAACCCTAAACCCTGTTTTCCGCCTCATTGCTTTCACAGGCATACCTTCACCGGAACCAGTCCCTTGTTCAGCTGCCGCAGAAACAAGAAATGGCATCCTTGCTTCCGGCTTTCCTGTACCGTGAACTGTGCAGAGAAGCACTTTCGCCGGTCATTGCGAAACACGACTTCTTCTCTGGCCTTCAATCCCGCTATGCTTCCTTCCACATGAACCTTTGCGTGGAATGCCTCAGGGAATGGCACTTAGCCACGGAAGAGATTTTGTTTTCCAATGGCCCACGATGTCAGAGCATGATGTTCGTCGCCAGTGGGGAGGTGGCCTACCGCAAGCTCCCCCCGGAATTTGCAACTTCACCTGTGAGTGCTCGGAATGAGTTGTTGCAGCATAATTTTGTGGTGCCAACAGCAGCATCTGCGACGATCGTCGAGGAGAAGCTCGGTTTTGGAGACTGGATGTGTGAGCAGTGCTGCTTGCCTCCATTGATTTCCGGGCTTCCATTTTGGCCTTGCAGCAGTGTGCAATTCGCTCAGGTCTGTGGACGGAGTGGCATTTTCTTGGCAGGGCCGTCTCGACACAGGGAGCGCAGGGAACTGGAAGGGGTTCAGCAGGGATGGGAAGGTAGTGTGATTCAGGCTCAATCTTTCCAGCCTTTGTTGAGAGAGCAGGTGGGCATGGATGGGGTCGATGCGATTTATGTGACGGGCGAATCCAAATGTTCGTCCGCATGCCCCAAAGATTGCTTGACTGAGTTGTCCTTGCTAACACCAACGTCCTTTACAGCTTGCGATTCACGGGCGTGTCCCGACTGACAGGAGCCACGGTTCTATGTCTGGCTGACGAGACACTGATGCGATACGCCGGTCTGCACAAAGAGGTGATGGCCGAACTTCTCATTTACTGCAGGCCTTGAGACATGCTGGCATGTTGCAGTTTGGAGGTTCATGACAGGTAAACCTGAAATCCGGCTGCCTTGAGTTCCAGCTGTCAGCTCTGATGTTTGTGTGGCATGCAGCATCTGTCGAATGGCACCAGATGTCGTCGTAGCTCATAGAGATCCAGACTAGAAGCTGGCTCTGTCCGCGATCAGTGTTTCATCTCGTTATGGCAGTATTGGCTTTGACAGGATATTGGTCGAAGTCTTGAACGGCGTGGCAGATGACGACTTTACAGATCTCCCTATTTCCATGGAGGATGTTCGGCCGCACCCAGTCAGTCTGCCTTGAAGAAATGCCTGCTGTGACTCTGACCGGGACCGGATTCCCCGCCCTTTGAAGTGGAAGTCGTGTAGCTCGGAAGAGCATTAAAGTCAGGGGGTGCCAACGCGCCTCGGGGACTGGGGAATTCTGCCGAACTGATTTACAGGCATGGTTCTCGCAGTTGTCTGCCTCGATCGTGCAGAAACCACAATGAAAAAGATGGTTCTGCATGTCTTAGCCACGTGGGTAAAACTACCCAAGCTGTTTTCCAGGCTGTGTTTGTCGTTTGCCGTTATGCCAGCCACGTGAGCATCTGTCAAGACTTCTGCAAGCGTAGTTAAGAGAAGGGTGGTCTCAGAATGTCCCTCGAGAGCGACACGAGAATTTTCCGTGTAATATATGGCCAGGCAACAGATACCCCACCACCAGATCGCTCCATGAGCCACTGCCCAGTCTGGCGGAATCATCGTTACTACTGCTTTCGCTACCATCACTACTATTACTACGACTAGTAGTAACAGTAGTAGTATATTACTATTGCAAACAGGACTATTAACTATTGCTACTCTTGCTTTACTACTCGTACTGCTATACCCCACAGACAAAGTGCAATAGGACTCCACCCAAGTCATCCATGACCAGGCCTGAAACAATCAGTTTTGACAAATGCTCATGTGATGCTCCATCCATCCCGGCGTGGCAGACTCAGGTCGCCCCTAAGCGGGAGCCCGCCCCTAAGGAGGCACTCTTTGCATATCATCTCTCAAAACTTCTGGCTAGCCACTGCGAGACGCTACACAGCTTCTAAGTTTATTTGGGGCTAACATGTAGATACTCCAGTGGATATTGCTCTGCTCTGTTGTGCTCGGCTTGACTAGCTGGCTGTATACCCAGGACCAAGAGTTCATGGTTGTATGTGTTTGCGCTCGCTTGAAGCGGTGCTCGTGATGTCGAATTTTCCACAGCTCGACTGTCAGAGCTTGTCGCAAGCGACACCGTTTCAGCATCTATGCCTTCGACGCCGTCTCTGCCTGAGACCGATTCCTTTCTAAACTCCTGTACCAGATTCGAAGATCATCTCTGAGCAAGCTTCCTTGCTCCGCGGGTGTGGGGAAGTCCAGCCCATCCCAAACAGGCCCCGGTGAGGGAAGAAAGATGGAGTGCGACTCCAAAAGAGTCGTCCAACCTGTCAGGGGGTGCTGCGGCGTTTTAGAGCTGGTCGGGGCTGGGGGGTTGTTCATGGTTGTTCTGAAGTTATTAGGTTTCCGGGCCTCTTCTAGCTAGAGACTGTTCTGATTTGGACCAAGAGAGACAGCTCCCAACTGGCCGAGCCAGCCTACCATGTGAAATCGATGCGTGTTTGAAACAACGGCTCAAGAGCTGCAGTTGCAAAAGGCACCCGACATGCGCCAGTCCTCCTGACAGGATGCTGTGTAGGCTGCAAGAGCATCAAGAGCCAATACGTGTTGCATGCAGGTGAAGATCATCTCTGATGCATCCCTGAATCCGTCGAACGTCATAATTGTGGACGACATGTGCCTGCCTTGGGCATGCTGACACTGCATATTCCTCCTGTCCGGATGCGAGACGAAGCACAAGCCCTGGTGCAGTAGGTGCGTTGAAGCTAAGCCTCCTAGTCTCTGTAGGGATGCCCGTGCTTTGTGAATATGGACACCTTTCAGATGCTCGAAAGGCAGGACAAGCCACTGAAACTTTGAGTCCTGGTAAGTCTTACGCCAGCATTGGGCCAACAGCATCTGGAGTTGAGCCGCCCGCAGGTAGTGATTGCTTAAGAACCAAGCGACGGCTTTTGGAAAGTGCTAAATCCAAGCGAACGCCTACGGAAGTCGGGAGTAGATGTTCTTCACGCTCCGCCAATGCAGACCCAGCTCCAAGAATCAGCACACGTGCAACGATTAGGCTCTACAGGTCTTGCACATGATGAGTTCTCCCCCAGCTCAGAGCGGAGCACCCAACTCGAAGGTTTGACACCTGCGGCAGTTTGGTCAAAGTCGTTGAAGCAGTCCGGCACTTTGCGCCGGAGGCTGGAATGCAGTTGGGATGATGGCTGCACAGCAGTTACCCCTTCTACTACTGTAGTAAGTCGAGACATGCATGGTACAACATCGTCAGGGTTGTTCCGAAGCGAACTGTACATTGGTTTTGTCTAGGTTGTATTGTATGGTTTGCTTAACACGACAATGTGACCAGAGGATTTTTGAATTTCAGCGGTGCAGGAGCGCTCAGGCCGTCATGGCCGTCATGAAGTAGAATAACCCTGGCATTCCTTGCATGTTGGTGTTTCAGGCTGACTGATGCACACAGCCTCGGACAGGCTCGGATCTACGCTGTGGGCACTCATGGCTACTTCTCCAAGGTGCAGCTCTTGCAGCAGGGCAGGAGGTGAGTGGAGGGGATTTTGGGGTCAGGACTCAGTGTGCATGCGGGGTAGCAGAGATTAAGTATGGTTGTGACGAGAGTGCTGGTGCAGGGGTCAGTCAGTTGAGACAGGAGAAGCGGATTTGAAGGCTGATAAGATCTCCAGGCTGCATCCAGCACTTGTAACTACACGGGAGTTGCACAGGATGCCAGCGAGCGAGTCGCGAAAATGATCACCGACCTCGGTTTGGAGGCTACAGCGAACCACACCGAATCTTCAGTTACGGATTTCATTTGTGCAGAGCTTCGCGGCTTAGACGGCTTTGACGGCTTTGACATGTCGAGACGATATCCCAAGCAAATGCAAGCGTACGAGTTCACTCTGTCAGTGGATCGCGGTCACCAACTGCATCTCCCAGAGAATGTCCGCGGCTTAGCGGCCGGAGCGGCCGGAGCGGAGCTCGAGTGCATGCGCTTCCTCTGTGCTGTGGTCAAAAACGCGGGTCGCCCGCTGCCCGGCGGCTCCTCAACTCGAGGCCGCTGCAGAAGTTCCAGAAGCTCGGAATTGGAGACAGGCAGGAAGCTGTTCTGAGAGTATCTAAGAGATTCTAAGAGTACGTTTTTTCTACACCAGCCGCGAGGCTAAAGGTTGTGGATGTCTCCAGGTTGGCCCTGTGCTTGGATCGAAACTTGTGCGTAGCCACGTGCATGAATGGCAACCTTCGACCAGGAAAATCGGGTAATCAGTGTCATCACGTTAGTTTGCGCCCAGGGCTTGCCTGAAATTCCGAGGTTGCTGGAGCCATCATTCGGATTCACCTGGGAGCCAGCGTGAACCTGCCCAAGTTCCGACAACTTGGGTTCGCACCTCAGTACGTGTGACAGCAAAATTGCTTGAGTTTCAGGTGCACCATGACGGCATGGGTTCTTGCTGGAAGCCTGCTCATCCATTCTTGTGTGGCCTGATCTTGACGCTGATCCTCGCTCGAGAATGATTGCAATTCTTGCAAGGCCAATGAATCCAGATCCGCTGCTTGCAGAAGCTGCTTTTGCACAGCCCCCAGCTTCCAACACTATTCGAGGTAGGCAGAGAGGGGATGAAGGGAGGAAGGTGAGTACCGGCGACTGTGTCCATGTTCAGGTGCCAACGACACAATACACGCTCCGAGCGCTTACCTTAGGGGACTTCGTTTGACTTCTCAGTTCCTGGTAGGAGTTGCAGAGACTTGCAGCATCTGCACACGAGCGCTCAGGGCGCCTCCGCACCGGTACCAAGTGCAGAGACGTGATGTGCCAGACTAGCACTCTGTGGAGTGGCAGCTTCACGAACAGTTTTCCTTGTCTGCATCGTAGTTTCCGTAACAGCAGCAAGCCTCGACATTGCACAAAGACGGTGGGATTCGATCGGGATTTGGACAACCGTGTGTTAGACAATGCCATGTGGGGTGCGATGTTCGGTTCTGTATCTCATGGCCTGCTAGCATCAAGATACATCTGTGACCCGAGTGGAGGCGTCTGCATGCGCCCAGTGGCCTTTACATATTCGACATCCATGTATCAATACTGTTGCCGCTTGATGTGAAGCTGCATGTTGTCTCTCGCAGGGTTTGACAGCCTGGGCATGGAATGGAGGTAACATGTACCAAGGCACATTAGAGGATTCTGGAGGTGTTGTTCTCGCACGCTTGCAGGCACAGTCAAACCTTGCCTTGAGGGAAAGATCGCTTGCCAGCGAAAAAGATGTTGTGCGTCAGGATTGCAAGAGTCAGGTCTGAGAAACGTGTGGGCGCAAGTCATGCTGTGACGAAAGCTGTCAACATGATCAGGTAGTGAGGTTAGAGAGAACGCTCGTTTGTTTGTGGGGCACATTTCCTCCTTTGTGTGACCGATCGCAGGGTGTGATCACAGAAACGTGGAATCAGGCAAATGATTGAAATTGAGCTGGTCGGGCATGAGTTACATACACAAAGAGGGTCATACTGAATTAGGTGACGTCAGTTCCTGCGTTCAAGACTATGGGGAACATGAGCCAGGGTTGCGCCTACCGTTGCGCAGGCGATGGTTTCAGGAGGGTAACCTGTGACACTGGCTCAAGCTTCCTGGGACATCAGCCCGGGCTGGCAAACTGACGAAGCCATGGCAGAGACCGAGAAAAAGAAAAAGAAGAAGGCGGAGCTTCGTAGTCAGAAGGGGCATTGCTATGGCCCGCCGCCACATCCAGAAATATTTTGAAAAGGGACGCATGGCAGGCGGGGGAAGAGCTGTACATAAAGCCGGAAGAGACTCAGAAGCCGATTGACACGTCTAAGCCAGCGACCCAGCGAACTCAGACTTGCGAAAAAAAAGCAACAACGAGCCTCTGTGTTGGTCGCCTTCGTGGACCCGCTAATATGCAGTCGGTTTCGGTCGCCATGTTCTTAGCTCTCGAGGTGGCCGCTGCTGCTCAAGAACTACTCGAAGCTGCTGGTCAGGTCGGCCTAGTTCAGCTCGACCGACTTGCGCTCTTCACACCTAGCCACCACCAGCTGTGTTGAAGTGAAGCGGTGGCAGCTGCGAAAGCAAAGCTCACACTTGTTTTGTTCAGAAAGCCTGGCCCGCTTCGTCCTATCAAGAAACAACCGTGGCCGTGGTTCCATCGCGCTCTGGACTTTGTTGATTATGGCTTCACGTCAGGACGGGTCACTACACTCCCTTGCCCTTTGGATGCTCGCCGATGACACGGCCGCTGGATGTTCCAACCTTGGATTTCTTGGCTCGAGCTCTGAGCTCGCATCCACGCGTTGCCGCTGCCTTTCTCAGGCTTACCTGCTCTACGGCATTCTCAACTTGGACAAGCCTGTGAACCCTTCTAGCCATGAGGCTCATGAAGCTTTCATTCCTACGGCCCAAGCCATGCCGGTGCGTGTCAGGTGGTCTCCTGGATTAAGCGGATTATGAACTGCGAGAAGACCGGACACTCGGGCACTTTGGATCCCAAGGCCCTCTTCTTTGTCTGTAGGTTCGAGTCCAGGATGCCTTTGCCATGCTGCGAGGTTTCCGGATGCCTTCTCGTGTGCTTAAACCGAGCAACACGCCTCGTGAAAGCCCAGCAGTCAGCGGGCAAAGAGTGCGCCTACGTGCTGTGGCGGCGTTTGCTTAAAGCAGAAACTACAGCGAAGCTGCGTTTGGAGGGCGACCCAAGTCTTGCAGCACAGCGGGATGGCGTGGTCATGAGTCATCAGCGACTTCCGACACCATTTTTGGGACAGTCCAGGTACATTGCTGTAGTTCGATTCCATTCTGACGTTGGCAGTGCGTCGAAGGTCCAGAAGGCACTGGCATGTGTGTGTGTGTGTGAAAGTGGACGTTGAGAGCGTTTTTCCCTTAGCTGACCACGGTCGCCGGTTGATGTGTGAAGGCCTTGGACGAACTGACCGGAGCATGTTTTCAGAGGCGTCCAAGGGAGAGCTGCAGCGGTTGTAGGGTTCAATCTGAATCCGCAGAGCGGCTCAATGCGGCTCAGGCCTCCGGTGATTTCGGCGGTGAAGAGGCAGCTGCGCGTTCGCTGCCGGCTCGGCTTCACATGCTTTTTGTCCTGCTGGAATTTGGTTCGTGACACTTCCATCTGGCACCCAAGGTACCATCTACGAGGTGTGAGAGCTTCCGAGAGCATGTAGATTCCGGCACATCACATGACAGCGCTGCATTTGATAGCAACCTGCAACCTGTGGCGAGTACTGTGCTGAGACCACAACAGTTGTCTTCAGCTTTGGGGGCTAGTCGTGAAAGCCTGCTTCGCAGGCGAAGCTGCTTGAGTACAATGCGAAAAGAGCCCTGGCTGATGGTTTCCACAATAAAAGGAAGGGGCTACAGGAGCTACAGGTGCTCACGAATTCGACGAGGACCATTGCAATTCTTGATGCAGTGAAGGACGCTCCACTGTCTACATGCAGTAGGGTGCCATGGCAAACAACAGGCTAAGCCACACAAGCCGAGTCGAGTGAAGAGATTGAGGTGCTTGGGGCCTGTTCGGTTCAAGGTACATTATCTGGTTTGAACTGATTTGATACATTTAGAGCCTGGCACTGTGCAGACATTCCGATGTCAATGTTATGTCTGCGGATGAATGCGAAAGCGTGTGCATGCGTGTCTTCACTTTTGCACTTTTTTTCCATACACAGAACACCTGCTGGACGACTATACTGAAGTGGGGCGCGGTCGCATGACCTGCCCTTGCAGGAGATCAGCTTTCTGGTGCTTGTTGCAGCTGAGGACAGATGGCAGTCGTTTGGGCCTCCTGCGAGGCATAATGCCTAACATTGCCTATGCCACCGTGCTACTGCAGGCCGTAAGTGCAAAGCCTGTCGCCAGTGCAGGCCGGAACCTACATCAGAACTCTTTGCGTTCATCTCGGCTTCATGCTGGGTGTTGGCGCACACATGCAGGCAGCGGGGCCAATGTCGAGGGCACTACATTATGAAGTTGTTGAAGCGTTCCGATCTGGAATCTGGAATGCCGACAAGCAGGCAGTGCTCACATCAAAGCACTACCTGTAGTTGCCAGGAGCTTCGGCGAAATAGGTCTGGCGTCCTGGACGAACATAAATACATGTCCACGAAGCATGGCTGCATCGAGTCCTGTTCTTCTGGTGTGCCTGTCACGTTGGTCGCACGAGGAGGAGCATGTTTATGGCAGCCAAGGATGCATGATGTCCTAGACGCGCAGTACATGTGACCCTCGCATGTCTTCCGAAAGTCTCACACCCCGTTTAGTTGAGCTTTGACATGCGTGGATGCGGCTTCAGACAGCAGCGTTGCAGATTCGTTCAGACACCGAGCCTCGGAAGTCCAACTTCAAAGGACGGACTTCACGGTTTGCGCCCAAACTCCCGAAATTGATCGGGCTTCGGAAGAACTTCACTGCTTGGCCTGTGCTTTTTGCCTTGCGTGGGCTGCGGGCTTGTTGCAGACAGAACGAAGGTCTACGGACACGGTACATACCAGTTTTCTGTCGTAGCGGAGAGGAGATCATAACAGGCGGAACTAGCAACTTGAACGAAGCCACCAAAACCCCATGTATGAAACTGGAGAGCGGTGCTGTTGTCTAGACCGGGGGAAGTTGGCTGCTGAGGGCAGAGGTGACATGGACCCTATAGAGTTGGATTAAGCATGTGACTTGGTGGCCTTGCCTTCTAGGGGCCTTTGCGGCAGGCAGCGTCGTCACAGCATGGAGTCAGCGAACACAACATGGTGGTTTCTTCTGGCAGAAGTCGTGGGAACTTGCAGACTCGGTGTATTTGGACGACAACCTGGCCAGGTACAACAACATGAGAGACGAAAAGTACTTGCGTCGAATCGTTATGCCCTTGGAGCTCATTCTCACAAACTACCCGCGGATTGTCGTCAAGGACACGCATCCACCGCAGTTCCCAGACTAAGCTGCTGTCCAACTCGCTGTCCTCCAAAATTCCACCCTCGCCAAGGGTTGATCATCACCAACAGTCGCAGGACAGTGCCGTCAACGCCATTTGTTACGGGGCGCAGCTCATGATCCCAGGGGTGCTGCGGTTCGAGCAAGAGGTTGAGGCAGTCTGTCTGAGACAGTGCACCTTGTGGCAGTTTTGACTCGACCTGCCGTGTTTGCCCCAAGCTTTAGGATCGTACGGTTTTGGCGCGCAGGTCGGCTCGGAAATAGTCATGATGACAACGAAGGGAGAGGCAAGCAGATGTCAAACAGAAGCTGCGTTGTGCTTCGTGCTTATGCAGCTTACTTGAAGCTCAGCTTGTTGTCCATCAGAAGACAAGCATCCATGAATGCTGGAAGGTAAGCAAACTCAGGGAGGAACTAGCCCGACACCGTCCCCTTGCTGGCTTAATGGCAGATCTTGCATCCCTGTGGTTCAGGCCATCGCGACTGGGATTGCCCAGATGACAACGGCAGTCATCGCTTCCGTGGACCATGGTGTTGTAGCGGCGACTTGCTCCAATCAAGAGCCCAGCCAAGCCACGGCAGTATCCAGCTTCGGTTCAGACGGCTGACCCAACGCAGGCCTGAGCAGCCTAAGTGTCCCAGGTGATAAAGCGCGTCATCATGGAGCGGGACACATACAACATGCTCGAGACCTGGCAGTGAGAACAAGCTGATCTGTTGGTGTCATGGATCCGTGGGTTCCCGAAGGCGATGGGGCTATGGTCCTCGTTCAAGTGACAAGAAGAAGCTCATCCTTGCGGGAAAGCTGACAGAAAAGGCAAGCAGTGTTGAACTGTTGTGATTCTTGTCTACAGCACTGGCAGTTTTCATCCTTGTTGCCACGGATCTGAAGTTCTGAAAAGGGGCCTGCACAGCCAGGGCAAGCCTAACGAGAACACACCGAAGGCTTGGCTCTTGGGCCAAGGAAGGCCTGGAATCGGATGGGAGAGTCTGTTTTATCCGAGCGGTAAGGACATGGATGTAGGTTGTGAGTGCAAGTGAGTTCAGGTGGAGCTACCTTCCGAAGCTCACCAGCGAAGAAGCTCAGGCGGAGATGGACGAAGCTCTAAAAGCCGCAACCTCAGCTTGTTGAGCCTGAGACGTGGCACAAATGCTCAGACGCCTGGTGGGAAACTGGCCTGATTGTGTCCTTGACCTTGAGGCAGCCAAAGCTGGCAAGAAAAAGCGCGCAGCAGAGGCTGGTGATGTGCGGAGCCACACACCTGTCTACATGTGGTGTTACAGCTGAGCTATTGCGCACTCAGGCAGGGGGGTATTTCAGGGTCAGGGAGCTGCGGGCATACATCGCAGGCAATACAGGTCCGAGAGCAGTCCAGTTTTCATGATGCAACGCGAAGAATGTCTGGACATGGACGGCGGTGCTGCTGCAACGGATGCGACGGCTGCGAAACTTCATAGCGGTGCAACTGACGCGGCTGTGCGACGAGATGACCATCTGCGATCGTTTATCCAGGAAGAGTTTGGCAAGCAGGCTGATCTGCTTCAGGAATTGTCTTCTCAAATCAGGTCTGCAGTGGAAGGAGGTGTGGCACTGCGTGGACATCTGCGGGAGTTTTCCTTTGCGCATCGCCCATCTCCCTCGGCTAAGAAAGCCCCCAAAGCTGCTGGCGACGATCCGCGTCTTGATGATTCTGACACACATGCCAAGACTAGCGCTGAAGGCAAGAGGGAGCACCACAAGGATCAGAACAAGTTCTACGAGCCAGGTGGGATCTCTAAAGACTCGCAGAATAGACCATCTTCTCGCACCTGGCTCCCAATCTAAGACCGCACAAGGAAGTAAAAGTTTTTGTTGTGCACACGTTGACCGTTGCATGACAGCTGAACCGCATGGCACCCAACGCCTATCGGGAGTCTCGGCTGCCAACTGCAAAGACTCAAACTTCGAAGACTCTTGAGACCCAGAGTTGCAATGGGCGGGGGTGCTGGTCGAGCATGGGTCTCGCAGTTGCCACAGGCACTGAGGAAGGTTGTACTGAATGAATGGTTCGCCCAGATGCATTCTCTCCTTGCTGGCTCGAGTGAAACCTGTCGCTCGTACACCGGAGATAGGTGAATGGCGAACCAAGCAACACCAGAATCTTGTAGTACAGTACAGTGGATCTGTTTGTTTTCAACGAGCTCGCAGATGGAGCCTGTATCTGTTGATGTCGCCCCAAACCCGTTTAGGAACTGCTAATCCTCAAGTCCTCGAGTTTACGTCCTAGACGGACTCCTTACACCTCGAATGCTAAGCCCGGAGCGCCGGCCCCTGAAGCAGATGCCTTGCATATTACACTTAGCAACAAGCTGGTCAGACTCTTGTTGCGTTACATGCCACAGACCAAAGCATCTGCGTCACAGGCGACCCATTCTGGGACAACGAGTTGCAGACCAGACTGAATGAGCATCAGAGAAAGGCCTTCGCGAAAGCCAAGTCTGCCACGCTGAACTCCATGAGCCACCACGAATCTCAACCACAACCAGGATTCTTGAGTGGCATTGCGCACATCACTGTCACTTCTAGCATCTTCCAGGCGGGTATCATGCTTCTCATCCTGATCAACCTTGTACTTCTGGGAGTTGAGGTCGATGTAGCTTCCACCTTGCCACCCGGTGAAGAGCCCCCGTGGTTTCAAACGGTGAACGTGATTATCGTTCTCATTTTCGTCGCCGAGATTGTCTTGAAGTTCGTCGCGCACGGATGCAGAGACTTCTTCTGCGGTCCGGATAGGTGGTGGAACAGTTTCGATTTGGCAATTATTGCTGCATCCGTCTTCGAGACTGCTATGGAGCTCATTGCATCTGCAATATCTGTGGGCAGCATGGATTCCAGCCATTTGCGAATAATGCGTTTCGTTCGCCTGGGTCGAGCTCTTCGTGGAGTGCGTGTCATGCGACTGCTTCGCTTCATTTCCGCTCTTCGGTCGATCGTTTTCGCGATTCTGAGCACATTGTGGTCGCTGGTTTGGACCTTGGTTCTGCTGATTCTGCTGTTCTACTGCTTCGGTGCCTCAGATGCATCTACTGTCAGCAAGCATTCGGTGCCCTTAGCCGGTACAGGTATCTTTGCGCAAGCTGCTCCAGCGGAACTCGAGAGTGGATGTGTCGGTCTGTCGGCCTGCACCGCTTTGCTTGTGCCCTGATTTCGGCCCAGGTGTCATCCTTGCCCAGCTCGTGTCTGACCACTGTCGATTCTCAGCACTTAGATCTTGGGATTCTTGCAGTCCTGTGCAGCTGGGAGACTTGGGAATTTGGGACGCTGTCCATCACCGTTTGATATCTGTGCAGAAGTATGCTTGTATCTGTGTATATTCTATATATATATATATACAACATGTATATATATATATATATGTATACGTATACAAACTTGAAATATAAATAAAACAATCTGTATAACTGTGTATGTATATAAAGACATGTATGTGTATATATATATATATATATGTATATATTATGTGCACACATTGCGCAGACACACTATCGAGATTTGAAAGACGCGCGTGTGTGTGTGTGTGTGTATGGATACCTTCGTGAATCTAAACACGAAACTATTTATGAATATCTATATATATGTATGTATGTATGTATGTATGTATGTATGTATGTAGGTAGGTAGGTAGGTAGGTAGGTAGGTTGGTAGGTTGGTAGGTTGGTAGGTTGGTAGGTTGGTAGGTTGGTAGGTTGGTAGGTTGGTAGGTTGGTAGGTTGGTAGGTTGGTAGGTTGGTAGGTTGGTAGGTTGGTAGG